ACTGAGATTTGTCAGAGTTTCTACATAGATTATCACACACAACTGCATTCAGTATCACTATAACTATCTTAAATCAGAGAAAGTTACCCTGAATACATCCAGATGTGTAAAAACATTCAGAGAGAATATACAAAAATATTTTATCCTGTGAAATGTAACATTCCAATGTTTTGAAAAGACTGGCATGTTTGAACTTTTAGCAGGTAAATATGAAAGCGCATTAAATTAGATTAAAATTTTGGTAATAGAAACATTTAATGTTATGGAAAACACCTGTGAACCGCTTTCTCAAGAAAAATTATCGAAAGTATACCATTATCAATGCAAAAGTAGAATCCAGAGCAGCATCACCTCACTTTGCTCGATGCCCACGATGAGAAACTTGATCGAAAGACTGATTAGGGGAAATAACTTAGGACCAAAAAGCGAAATTGCTTACTCAATGACGACACATGCGTGTACAAAATCCACTGCTGAAATCGGTCAGTAGCATCCTGGCTACCACAACCTAACAGTAAAATACAGTGCACTGAAGTATCTAGTCACTTCACTTATTTCACTATATTTCAAGATATAAGTGATAAACTTCGATTAGCGCTAAGTACACATGACTAGATAACCGTACCTGTTACACGCTGGTTACCATTTCATGTGCAGAATTCTGTCCTAGAGGTGATCACACGTGGCCTGAGTAGCCCCAAGGTGAACTCTACGAATTTATTACACAATGCCACAGTCCCCAATTACGGATAGCGTGGCACTTTCCTCATGATTACAGCTGCATCATGCTGATGGATTCTAACAACCCTGAGTTCTTGGCTGATGTTTTCCTGTTAAATGAATCCCATAATATATGTATCAAAGAACCACAGTGCAATGCTATGCCACATCGCTCCCAACTGATGACCCCATTGCGAACTTGATCTATGGGATTCAATAACACCAATGAACTGAGTACTAAAGAGATAAGTAGGTTAACCAGTGCTGTCAAAAGTGTATGCACGATTTAGGGTAAAAAGCGGTCACTTGTGGCCTGGAAAGCATAGGAATAACTTCGATCACCCTATTAGAATTTGAACCCTGGCCAGAATTAACCCATAGCGCAACATTTTTGTCCTGCTTGTTGATACGTTTTGATAATAAGTCCCAAGAAGCCACAAATCCACTTCCGTAGTTGTTTGGCGATTTATTCCTAAATCTAACTCCAAAATAGTGCAGCAGAGTATCATATCCCTTCACTTTATGGTCATACTGGATAACTTGGTAGAAAGAATTTCATGAGTCCAAGGAATTGAAGACCAACTGAACGGCTAGATCGGTTACATGTTAGTGGCGAATTCTTCTTTACACTGCAATCATGTAGTTGGTCACTCAGTACCCGAATGACTAAGCGTTTGCGTCAACCACATGATAAGTAAGTGAAATTCGGCCCAAATGAACAATGGCACAACATTTTCTTGATAGTTGTCGATACCTCCTGCTGACCAAAGTCAAAATCGCCGTCTATCGATTGATTTCCAATATCCAGCACTAAAATTCAGTGTACCTCCAGGATGGTCCTCCAAGCTTTGGGCCACATTGCAAAAGTGACCTATGAAATTCGGTCAGCACTGACGATAAGACAACATGAAGTCAACTACTCTACAGTGACTAACAGTGTATCTAGCGCAGTCCTACAGAAAGTTAATTGCAGGTCAAATAGTTTAGTAGTGACGAGTCAAACTGCCACACTGTATGCTGTGTTTTCGGATCAGTGAGAGGAAATCAGTCTCAATGATTTTTTAGTTACACCCAGCTTGCAAATGCCAATAATCACGAAACTTGGGTTGACGGTTTCTTGTCAACTGCCTTTTAGCATTTTGCATCTACCAGGATTCACAAAGACGATGACTATTTCGCTTGGTGGTCACATCGCGAATATGACGGATAGAATTCATTCAGAACCCGTGGCTAGACAATATGAAATTGGTTACTCTACATTGATCGGTCAATCTATCTAATCCAGTCCCACAGGAGGTTAATTGCGGCTCGAATCGCTCCACGTGTGATACGTTTTGAATCTCTGAAAGGTTTTGAATTTTGTCGTGAATACTAAAGAGCCTCTGCGATGAGTTCTGCAAGGATTTTACTCATACCTCCTTAGAAGACGCTTCTCTACTAAGTACTGATAGATACTGTCATCACATTTTCACAATTAATACTCAAGTACATTTACTTCTGAAATGTTTTAATTTGATGATACTTGGCTGTTTTTCATTCAACTAATCATGAAGATTTTTCTTCCGGCTGTTTGCGGAAACTTATATCATTAGTTACTTTTTCTTTCCAGAGTTGACAAATTAATCCTCTCACTCATCTCAATAATGTTTCGTTAACAATATTTATACTTCAAGGTAAACGGATTCCAACATTTTCAGTGTATTGATGTTGTTTCTTGTATTATCCCATTGTTGAGTGGACTGTACCCGTCGCACAAGAAGTAGCTATAGTTACTCTGTGGTCTAGAGGGGAATGATCTGGCATTCTAAGCGATCGGCCTCGAGCTTGAGTCCTAGTGGAGACAACATCGATCACCGATAAGTAGGCATATCCAGCTGACTAGTCCAGAATAGGACTCTTGGTTTCCACTGCTAGCTACCATCCATCATTAATATTTTCGACGTATCTTTTCAAAGGTTGAGGGTATAGTAAATGAATGCTGAAGCCAATAAAGCCTTTCACGAAACGTAAGGTAGTTGCATGGAGCCAATCATGTTTTTGTAGTAGCAGGCCGCATCACTTCTCAATATATCTGTTAGTGTTTTTAACTTTGTAGTGGATCTGCTTAAAATTACTCCAAGATTGAACTGTGAGCGAAATCTTCGTTTATACACAAAAGGTAGCATTTGGCAAAAAGTGAAATATTACAATTGACATAAAACATATTTTATATCCATTCATTACAATCACTATCACTTCTAGATGGGGATGAATACACCATATTCGTTAACACTGAGTTTTCACTTGCGTAGTGTACATTATCAAAGACAGATATTTATCATAGGGAAACACTGTAACAGCTGTACTTCATATATCTCATTTGATTACTGTTAGAATTCCTATTGGGGCATTTTAAGGGAGATGATTGTCCCTCACCAGACAGATAGACAAAATCAACACAGAACCTTGCACAAAGTCCATTGGTCCAAGTTGCCACACTTCATAGTGATAAGCAAGGAACAAGTGGATAGAATAAGAGTGATATCACGGAAGACAAAGTTGTGTGAGAGAATGAGCAATTTAAAGGTAGAAACAAGTGAAAATATTCAGGCTTTTGAAGACGTCAAACAGTGAATACAAGTGTGCCATTGTGACCTATTTTCAGCCGTGTCATCAAGAGTCCTAAACTACTGATTCCTTTCATCTTTGGAACCCCAACCAGTCAGTGTACGTCTCCCCACACGGCCCAGACCAACACTGACAGACTTCATGCGTTAGTCCCACGTCTTGGTCTGGTCAACATGAACCCTCTTCCAACCTAATCCAACTTCCCCTAATATGGCACGTTGGCGTAGGCGGTGGCTCAGGATGACTAGTGCATGTCTAAGCCATCTCAGTTGACTAAGGTTAACATTCTCATCAATAGACATACTTTTCTTACCTATCTTCCACTGATATATCTTCAAATATATTCCGACACTGTCATCACGAGAAATATAGTGGTTCAGCAAATTATAATAAAGATACGCATAAAACAAATTATTTTGTATCCATTTTCTTATAACACCTACTATAGTTCTGTGGGGAAAACTACTACTCTTTTAAGATGTCGATGAACACTCGGTTAGTACCATTTAAATTTATCCTTAAAGCACTAAATAGTCTACACAAATCTAGCATGTATCCGACAGGAAAGCCTAGTATGGCTGAATTCATTAATTTCGGTCGGTAAAAAACGTTAGCAAACAAACTTATAGTTGATGGTAATAAATAAAATATTACTATATTTGATAACCTTTAGAAGATCGATACTTGTTCTTCATCTGTCTGGCTCAACGGTTCTTTGGTCTTGAAAGTCACGAGATAACAGAGGATGATCTGAATCTGGTTTCAAGGAAATTTAAATCCATTAATGCCATCCGCTTAAGCTTATGGGTGTTTGAAAACAATGGGATGATAAATTCACCATTGATTATTTTGTGCATTTATTGATCCTGAATACCAAAATTAAAATTCACATTTTTTGAGTTAGTTCATAAATAATCAGAGAGGTGAGGTTGCAGATAAACCATGCTGATGAGTGCCAACAAGTACGAAACCTAGGTATAGGCCTTCCTGTTGATTACCTCTAACCAACTAACATCTGTTAAAGTGCATCCCCTTGGCGAACCTCCTTACTTGGTGGTCAGATTGCAAAATGATAGGCCCTTGTGCATCTGTGCGAATTCCATCAAAGTGTATAATCTAATTTATTGGTACCTGTAATTTCCTGTAGTCATTCCCGATCGAAGTGATCAGCCTCCGTTGACAGATGGGTTCCTACGCAGAAGCCTCGATATTGCCTGATTATTGATTGTTACAATTTGCTTGTTGGTGGCTAGGAGTGGAATCCAGAACGTGCGTTTCTTCTACTTTGGGACTCGTCCGCTGGACGTACCTGCACTGCAGTGAGTGATGTTGCTCCTACTGAGACTCTAACTCAGTACCCTTAACTTCAAATGCCAAAGCATTATCCACTAGACCACATCACTCACTGGGAGATAGGTACATCCAGCTGACGAGTCTCGAACGGGATGAAACATGCCTCTTGGATTCCAATACTAGCTATAATCAATCAAACTAAAAAGTGTACATGCATTCTGTGAAAATGAATTATTTAGAAATTGATTAGTTATTATTGGTAAAATTATTATTTAGAACACTACAAAGTTAACCATTCAAACATCCGTTTCAAAATAATATGCAGTCAAACTACAGATTGGTTATAAGAGTATTATTGATCAGTACAAGTGTTTGGCGTGGTTGGAACTAGCTAACTGTATGTGTATATATTGCATTTTCAAGTTATTTAACCATAGTGAGGAAATGAGTTATTACGCTTATGAATGGATTATATATTTGCTAATTTACAGTTTTGGTATGTGTTTTTTAAACATCTGACCTCGTTGTCATTTATTATAATGTGATAAAAAGGTAGTTGTCAATCCATTTGTGACGGTTATCTGTTTGATAAATTTGTGTCTCATTGAATTAGATACTGGACAATCAACTAGTGACCCATGGCTAAAGTGCCAAAGATTACGTAACTAAGTTTAGTCCCATTCCTCGCATACTATTTTTGAGATTTTGATACAACCGTTGAACTGGGTTACTACATCAGTCGTTGTAGCCTCCAGCTATATTTTATGAACTATTTATGCGAAAACAAAAGTAAAGGAGGACTAGACAATGTCAAAAATTTATCAGCTGCTACGTTCAATGGGAACAATATTCATACACATCTGTTGGTGGTAGTAGTAGTAGTAGTAGTAGTAGTAGTAGTAGTAGTAGTAGTAGTAGTAGTAGTAGTAGTAGTAGTAGTAGTAGTAGTAGTAGTAGTAGTAGTAGTAGTAGTAGTAGTAGTAGTAGTGGTAGTTGTAGTAGTAGTAGTAGTAGTAGTAGTATCGATAATCATAATAATGGCACTTCCGAAAATAGTCGCTAGTTATGTGATTCGAATAATGCAACTGAATGATTTTCCAGCAGTGAGATTGCCGTTTCACTTGTTTGTGTTTAGATCACTGTGATCTAGTTGTCGAAATCTGCAGATCAGCCGGACTAGTTTCTAACTACTCAAATTGTTCAGTAGTAGTATATTTCGCTAGTTCATGACACTTTCGTGTCAGAAATCATACCTGGTAATCTTGGCTGGATGGTTTCCAGCGGGAACCCCGTTGACACAACAGTCGAGCAGTTGAAAAACTATTCAGCTGTGAGGAATGTTCAGGTGGAGCGTGCAGTTTGTAAATCATTTGCAAATTAATCATTTTATTTCAATTAAGAATAATTTTATGGATTCACAGGTTCACTGCCTAACATACGCACATGTTTACTTCCCGTTGTTTTTAGGAAATGGGCATAGAAATTATGAAATAACCTTTTTTAGTTATATCCCCACTACAGAATAGCCTAATATGCGCAGAAACGTTTATATGTAATGCAGTGATTTCAAGTCAAGGAAGCTTACTGGTCTCTGATTGTAAACACAATTAAGACAGTAGACATTATGATAAGAAGTATAGGAATCCATTGGAAGGTATACTATAACATTAAGCTCAATGTATTCTTGTTATGTTTACGCATCATTCACAACACATAACACTTGCCTATCTCAATAAGTTTAGATGTCTATAAATATACTCTTCATAAAGAAAAAGAAATTGTGGAACAAAGTACACAGGAATACTGATTTTCTCGGTATGATTCTTATATTACACAACTATTCGGAACTGCGAGTGAGACCAAGAGGCATAATTACGTCTTAGGAATAGATAATTGTAGGAATTCAGATGATTACTGCCATAGCCTTAGTTATTCTAAGAAAAACTTTGTAAATTCAAATATATGACCCCTTGATTGACAAACTTAGATAAAATCTAAGCACAAATAACTAGGTAGCTACATCGGTGGTCCATTCATTGTCATCTAATTCGTGTATACCTTCTACGTGTTACTGAGGAAACATGCAACACATCTAAATTTCAATGTAAAGCGCTAACACACCCTTTCAAATTCCATAGTTTTAAGTTCATAGCCTAAACGTCTAACTATGAACCACTAATACCAGTGAGTTATAGTGACTAGAAGTGGAATCCGAGATGTGTTTCGTCTTATTCTGGACTCATCGGATGGATATACCTGCCTCCAAATAGGTGGTACTGTTCCCACCAGGACTCGGAACGATCTCTTCAAACGTCAGATCATTGCCCACTAGACCACTAAGTCACGACAGGCACTTCTTGTACAACGGGTACGGTTTATATGATGTTGCAGTATTGATCCATCCGCGCAGAAGCCCATATGCAATAGAAACTGATCATTTCAGTTCAGTCAACGACAGGATACATACAAGTAACTTCATATAAACCACTTGAACAATTTGGGCTATTTCCATGTGACAGTATCATTTGATAGGTGTAACTCCCAGTCTAATCCATAGACTTACAAATATTCGCAAGGTTGTGCTACATTTTTGTGAATTATGCTTTTTATTAACGGTGGATTAGCTGTTCCATTTCTGTTCACCAAGAAATTTCAATAACCCACCATACTTTGGATTAATCGCATATTTTAGAAATTGGTAATTTGGGTAATGAATATTTTTTTGACAAAAAAAAGTAATTGTTCTTATGAAATAATCTCATATGGTATCAGATGCTTTCATATCATGATGGATATTTCAATAGTTTATCTGTAACTTTTACCAACAGCTGTTTTTATGTACTTTTAGGAATGTCAGAGATCTTAAATAGCGAGGTACTGTATTTTCTAATATTTACCATTCCATTAGTTCATCCAAAAAGAGTCATCTTACTCTTCTAATATTAGTAGTCAAAAGAGAAATATGAATTTCTAAGCTTCAACCTTCAGGCGCTAACAGTCAACACAGTTAGTAGTCTTCTCACTTGTGTATTGTTTCTATCCTAGCAAGTTCTTTCTCAAGTGACTTTTTACATAATACAACTGAATTCTTAGAAGTTTGTTAGCAGATCAGTCAGGAATTTAAATCCTGAGCTAATTAGTGATGTATGCAGTCACTAGAAAATAATTATCCTTCAGTAGAAACTTCACCTGTTACTAAACGCTGTTCACTGTTGAGCAAGATTGCTGTACTGATACGAAATATAAGACAAGTAAAAGTCCATATTTAATTATCATGGCTTACAATGAACTCCGATTTTACCCTTTTTCATTATTCAAGACTAACCACTTGATTGCCTTCAAACCTCGACAAGAAATAAATTTCACAATAAAATATGAACCCACTGTATATGTCAACGTTTCCAATTAGGCTGCTAGGCTATTCATTAATGGTTTATCCACCAGGTATTTTATTATTGATGTTTTTACTTTGTTACTTTTGAGGTTTATATCACTGTAAGATACAGCTATCACGTAACTAGTTGTAGAGTTATTACACATGCATTTCAAGTATTAGCAAATATCATCAATTAAACCATCTGCGATCCGTCATTCTACTAGGTAGATCTCTGGATACAAGGATAATCCAGGCTATGATAACGTTCAAGCTACTAGCTAGTATATGGGTGCTTCACCAACTGAAACAAGAGATTCTAACTAAATATTAAGCCTAAGTTCCAGTCAGTTAACTCGTGCAATGAGGATCAGACAGATATTTCTCTTTATTCAACGACAAACTAGACTAAACTTGGTAACTGAAGAAAAGTAAAGATTATGTTCCATAGCTCATTGAGTGGATAGACTGTTGGACAATCTGAATAATGATAAGTCGTACTAAAAACTTGGTCTTTCTTGAGATTCTTTGCTTTTTTGAAGAGTGAAAGAACAAAACAAGTGTAAAGTGAATTTAAGACAAAATTTCCTCTTATTCACATAATATTCTTCCTAGTTTATTGTATTTATTCTGCTCCTGTTTAATTCTTTTCAAATAAACTTCTAGAGTCAAAATTGTAATGATCTATGTATCCCTCCAATTTTTTTCTCCTTCTTTAGTTCCATCTCAATCTGATGAAGTTTATACAAGAAACACTAGTCAACCATTAACTTGTAATTCACTACTTACAAACAGTGTATTACAGTATCATATTGAACAGTTGTTAACTCATTACGGAAAAGATAGTGCTTATAAAATTGGTAGTCCAATAAAATTCGGAGCTACTGAGTTCTTCGATGTGAAGATAAATGGTCTATCGGAAGTTCGGTTCGCTGGACCAGTTGATATTGTTGACCTATCATCAGGCGATATTCGCCTGATATTTACTGTACTATTCGATTATCTTGTAATAAAAGGAAAAATGAAAATGCCTGTATTGATGACCAAAGTTCGGGTAACGAATAACATATTTTGAAATGAATTTTGTTGTTTTTTCAAAAAAATATAATAAATGAAATTAATTTACCATTGCGTAATCATTACAGATGCTATGATTGTAGGCTTTATTTAGCATCTATGCGTTGACTAGTTGCTACAATGTACGTGATATTGTGCTTATTCCTAAGGGCTGACTAAATTTTATTGAACAGTTTTGGAGTATGATCACCAGGTTAAGCAACTCAGCATTGTCTTACACTCTGCCAGATGACGTATGGTTGAAAACAGTTGATAGGAGGTCATTAATTGATGCTTCGCGCTTTTTGACACATATCAACACAGTGTACCTGTAGTCTAGAAGGAAATAATGTTGAGTCAGATATTCATACCTGCAATGTGCAGCACTGTAGCTAAATATTTCACCACTGAAATATCAGTACCCAACCACCTAACCAGTATCATGAACAATTATGATTATTACTAGATGATGATTGAAGGTGAAATGAAAATTTGGACCATGAGAGGACTTGAACCTAGAGACCGGCAGGTTTCCTAGTCAGCGCACTCCCAAATGACTGACTGCTGACCAAACTTTTATTTCATTCCAGTCAATTAGGTTTATGATTATTCTCAATTCCTCTGCTTACTTTGATTGAAGCTGATCTGTTTACCAATTTACAATAGATTTTTGAAGAAACCATAGAATAACTACATCATATTCACCATGTGAGATCCATATAAAAGTGAGAATGTTGATCTTATTTCTTTCTTACTGAAAGTGCATACTTACGGTGGCCTGCTTGAACCTTGGGCCACCAAATTTTTCCATTGAACAGTTTTCATTAAATGCCTTCCTTTCAATTTGTTTTAATCATTTCGATATGTCCTTTGAACGTAGCACGTACTCTTGCACATTTTTAAAGTATTTCCAACTCACCATTGTTCGAATCACTAACAAGGCAGAGGAAGAATGTTACGTTGTATGGAAATTGACTTTTCGGTGCAAAAAAAACATCATATTTCTATCCATCAGATGTATAGCTTGAGTTGCAGATTTTTGTAGCATCTGAATAAACCGCCACCACTAAAATTACGCCTACATTTCTGTTGATTCTTCATTATGGACCGGATGCCCATCTATAACCAGCTGGCTATTTCAAATTATTGCCCTGAATACTGTTATTATTAACATCAGGCAGATGGAATCACCATTTCGTTTGAAAGTATTGTTCTGGGAGTGAATTTGTTGAAAAATTACATGCTGAGAATTCCATACTGTCATACATATTGTTTAGAATAAGCAATTATTATTATATTGGTTGGCAAAGACATAGTTATTGGTAACAATACTCTATATTGTTATAATATATCTGTAGTGACTACTTAAGAGTTATTTGCCTAGTATCTGTGTATTCATGTAATGTACACCAGAATAAAGCCGCGGTCTAATCAAAGACCATACTGTTATCCATTTGGCTAGAGTTGTGGTAACTACTTCACTTTGAAGAGGTTTTACACTATCCTCCAAAATTTAATTTTTGTGTAGTTAATTTCTAAAACCGAAATGACCAGTTCATACCTTGTTTAACTTTTCAGCCAGTGGCAATCAAAATGAAGTCAACCAAAATATTTTTGGATCTACTACTGTCTCAACCAACGAATAATAATAATATATCTCTACCAATCAGTGTGAAAAAGGTTACTGTTATTCACTGGGACAAACTCAAGTTTGAAAGTAATGGACTGTTTACAGCATTTTTTAAAATGTTCAATAGTTTTCGGATGTATGACGGTGTAATCAAACGTTTAATTGAAAGAGAGATTTACCAACAAATTGATGGATCCTTAAAATCATTTTTTGAAGATTAAGACATTGATCTTGATGTCATTCAAAGGTAGTTAATTTTGTTATAAATTCATTCGTTTTGTCCAAGACTTGTGTAATCCAAAAGGGAAAATTTTGTTCAAATTGCAGTGTTTAAATGTTATCTCTCATTTCGACTACTCTTGAACTAAAGACATTCCTCAAAGGACTGATTAAACTGTTTCCTATGCTCACTGGTCCTCGAATGTTTCCCAGAGTATTCATATATTTTCCCATCGTTTTGATTGCATCCCTTGCTCATTTGTGCTTATAAAGTGAAACTTCACCTAACATACAGATTTTTAAGAACTATGAGTAACGTAAATGAAAGTCACTGATTTTCATAGAATTGAACATTCGAAAAATAAATTTAGTAAAATGATTTATACTACTGTTAAGTAGTAATAGTCTGAATTTTAAACTTTGTTCAATGAAATCTCAGCGATTGAACAATTGGACAATTTTACAGCAGTGGTTCGTGAGGAGTCATCAATTTCAAGATGATTTTAATGGCTCTCATCGATGGGATCTATCTTGAAATTAATCGACTGATAAATTACCAGAAACCACCTAAGTGAACATTTGGTGATAGGAGATAAAGTAAAAGAACAACAATAAATGATCGTCAGACGTCAGATAATCCACTTCCTGGTACAATTAATTGCGTTCTAATACCAAATTGATAATCACACTTATTTCAACACTGACTGAAATTATCTGCCACTTTTGGGGATTGCTTACGACATTTGATTTCGTTTTCAGTCGGCCATTTAAATATCATGGGTGATATAAGATCGTGAGTAGTCGAAGTAGCCAAATTGAAATACGTTCTTTCTGGTCATACAGTAACCCACCATCATATTTATCCGTATGTTTTTGACTACTGTAAGTGATCTCCTGCGCACACTGTGAAATAAGAACCGCCTCACTCTAATGTTTGTGTTGCTCTGCTGGGAAAAAGTTCTCATGGAGTTAAAAGAAGAGCCTAGTTCAAAATGCTCTTTATAGCTAACAGAAGTAACCATCAAAGATCATCAGAATCCAACCATCTGGCAATACATTTTTATCGATTCTTGATGTATCTTATCAAGGGCAGGAAGCGTTTTCAGAAACTGAACTGAATGGTCTGAAGACGAAATTATTACTTGAAATTCAATTTTCATCACAGACAAATAAACATCAGGTACTGAAGCGTCGATAAAGAAGAAGCACATGACATTTGTTTCATCTTAATCTAAAAGTTCTGGATAGTGTGTACCTAAAAACTAATATGGAGTCGAGTTCAGTGCTGTCATATCTTCTGTAGAGGACGTTATCATGCAGTTACAAACTTTAGCCTACATTTCTTGACTTACTTTATTTCAGAATATAACGTGACCATCGTGCAATGTCACTGGTACGCTATCGTCCTCACAGTTCATTCGGTTGAATCCATAGGTTGCAGTTCTTTAATTAGAGCTTTAACAAATTCGTATTTCAGCAGGTAGCTAGCTATGACTAGATCGTATTTCGATTTGGTGGTTTATGCTCAAGCGATGAATTAAAAGTATTGGACATCTGGATTTTTATCAGTTGGAGATATAATAACTTGCTTGCCGAGAGAATCCATGGTTCTCAGCCCAGCTTCGAATGGTATTTTAGATAAACAGCATTCTCTAATCGATGTCCATCCTTTGAAATATTTATCATTTATAGGATAATTTACGACTGCGTTGTTTGTGGTCATTCTTTTCACATTTACAAGTAGCAGTTTAATTTTCTTTAATATACAACAGCAGGTCAGTTGCTACTTATGCGACACTAACCTTAAGGTTTAGGAAATTGTCACCCCTTCAGAGTAACGACTCATCTCAGTCGATATCTAACTTTCCCATTGTCAGTAAGTTAGCTTTCAATAAGTAGGTTGACTTATTCTAAACAAAGTACTTTTCATACAAGCTGTCTATCGAAGAAACCATAGGAAAGCATAAGATCCACTAAAATTCCACAACATTCATGTTATAATGAATCAGTGAAGTATTATTTTCATGTGTATGTGAGTGTATGGTATTGTGACGAAGGATATTGTTTTCGAAGGATTCTGTCGGGCTGTCATACTCTAAGGTAATCACTTCAGACTTTGAAGCCCAAATCTTTGTAGGTCTTGATGAGATCCCTACCCATGATCGATAGATTGAAGCTTAGTTAGTCTAGATAACGAGCTAGAGGTCATAATTTTGGTTAGCTTGATTCAGTGAAGACAATAAAAGACAACTAGGATATTTTTTCCCAAGGAGTTTAAGCACAATAAGAAGCTTGATTGAACCGTTTATCTAAGTTAGGACAATTTTACAGCAGTGGTTTGTGAGGAGTCATCAGTTTCAAGATGATTTTCTCATTCACAAACTGACGTTACTTAGAAAGCTAATAAAAATACTGGGGGGGGAGAGAGGGGAAGCATCTCCAGGTTTTTAAAAGACTGTCAACAAAATTGTGTGTCTATAACCTCAGTAGGAAAACCGGTACTCCCTTGAATGTAGGTATATCCAGTTGATAAATTCAAAGTAACAAAAACTTCGCAACCTAATTAATAATGCAACGCTGTATCATATTCAGCCTAGATTTGGTTGCAGACAGTGTTGAGGAACTTATATGTCAGTTAATATAAGTTATTGAATGATGAATGATGAGAAACACCGAAAATTCCGACAAAATTTATAGGACAATCTCTTAAGTATTTCTATTGATAGAAACGTAGTTTAAATGAATTTCACACAACATAAAGTTGATATCGTAAGTTCATAAAGTATTCAAGAGGATGTGATAGGCAGAACTCATACAGAAATGGCAAAAGTTCAATGGTAATTCAACGTAGAATATGAAATATAGGAAACCAATGCTTAGTACAATTCCACATATAACTTATATCCCAGTTGCAGACTTACTGGAGAATTTCGTGATAAAAAGTAAGTTGTTTTTATCTCATTTATTGAATTGTGAACACTAGCGAACTTAATTTTGAGGCATTGTAAACTGCCAGCATGACTGACGTAATGATTTATATCGGTGTGTTTTTTTTCGGGTCTTTCCAAGTCCTCCCATATCTTACTCATTTACACAACAATTTTCTACCCAACTTTCTTTATTCGGAAGCTGACAGCACCTGGTATAACTCAGCCTCTCATCTCTTGTCTCATAAACTACCATATCTTGCCTCTTCTCCTTTATTCTTTACCGGGTTGCTGACAAAGCACTATGCTGCTGAATTGTGTAGAACTTTGAAGATTGTCAACAGAACTAGTGGTGTACCTCTAAACCTTCTACTTAAAACAGTTGTGGGCAATCACGTTAACTCATGTAAACATCTGTCAGGGTCGAGTTTATCAGATGACCAGTATCCTTTTCACTCAAAGCTGTCTCTGCATGTTGGTCATCTTGAAAGACAAGTCGAAAGTACATCAGACTTTATGTATGTACTACTAAAGTTAGAGACTGTACAATACCGTGGTAAGCTTGTCTGTTGTGTGATGAAGAAAGTATAACAAATGAACTAACTAATCAACTTCTGTTTTTGATAGCAAACTAACTTATGATGAGGATGTTGCTATTTAGGTATCATGAATCTAATTGTTAGTGTGATTGTCTATCTAAATTAACTGTACATTTTCATGAAAGTTGTACATGGAGTGAATATTCTTATCTTTTTTATATGTAATTTGCTACGTATACATAAACACTGTCTCTGTCTAACTGATGCTATATGACATGCTGAAAGTTCTGTACAGTTTTCTCGAAATAGCTTTCAGAATAAACCCATCATTACTATTATCATCATTATTATTATAAGTTGTAAGAGGTAGATATTTGGTGGAGATAGAAATATAAATACCTTGCCTAGCAGTTCTTGATTGTATCAGTAATATATGATGTAGGACTCTTATTCTTTATATATATATATATATATATATATATATATATATATATATATATATATATATATATATATATATATAATATTGTTTCACTGTAGGTGTTAGTTGTTTAGAGGCAGTAAGCCGGGAGCTCTTCACCTGCGTTTCATGCTTGTTAGCACTCGTCAGGAGCGCGTATCTCCAACCTCAACGGAACTGATGTCACATATGAGATTCGTACCCGCGTCACCCAGTGTTGTAGTCGGTGACGTTACCACTGATGTGCAGATCAAATTGCAACGCTACGCATCCTTATAGAACACAGCATAGAGTGGGAGCCAACTCTCTACCTTACCTCAACTTCATCCACTTTGAAAAGGCATTCGATAGTGTCGACCGAGAAGTAATTTGGCAGCTGCTGCTTCAACACTATGGTTTCAGTGCCACAAACCTTTATCAACCTCATTCGACAGCTACATAAAGAAGCTACATGCCAAGTGATTAATAATGGAAAGCTTAGTTGATGCCTTTGAAGTGAAGACAGGAGTAAGACAAGGTTGTCCACTATCACTGATGATCTTCCTGATTGTGGTCAACTGGACTAGACTGAATCATGGAGCAAACCGTGAGCAGCAAGAAGATGGGCATACGCTGTTTGACCGATGTAAAGATCCTAGAAGAAGACTTAGATTTCAAAGCTGATGATTTGTGTGCAATGTCGCACAAACTCGAACATATACAGGCGAAAACTAACAAGTTGGCAGAAGAAGCAGGGCAGCGAAGATGGGACTACCTTCACGTGAACGTAGAGAAGACAGAGGTGACGAAGGTACCCAACCAACAACAACAACAAGCACCAATCACCATGAACAGGAGACACCTAAAGGAAGTAGCATCTTTCACCTACCTAGGAGGTAGCATCGTCTCAACGACAGCAGCTGGCGGCGGCACAGATGAGAATGTCAGAGTTAGAATCGGAAAGATAGCAAGGCAGGCCTTCCTGCACTAATCCGAAATCAGTGGGGAGATCTACTGCACTCCACCCCACTTAGCATAAAGCGTGAACAACATCCGGATTTGCAACACTAATTCAGTCAGTCAAGTCACTGCTTCTATGTGATGGTTGAGAGAACTGGCGTGTTGTGAAAAGCAAACCCAACAACCTGCAGACACACATGAACAGCTGCCATCTACGCTCACTCGATACTGAAGATTAGATCAGATGGCCAGGATAATGAGAATAAGTAACAAGGAACTGTGACTGCCAACCAACCAACCAACCAACAGCTTACCACCCAACAAATATGTAGAAGAAAGTGGAGGTGGGTTGGATGAAGCATACACTGAGAAGACCGTTTGGGGACATCACTCACCAGGCCAGGCTAGGCCCTCGAGTGGAACCAAAATGGGAAACGACGAGTTGGGGATCCGAGGGTGACATGGAGGAGATGGTGTGAGGAAAAAGTGGAAGCATATGAGCAGTGGTGGAGCTAGGTTGAAAAAACTGTAGAGAACAGAGTGAAGTGGATACGTTCTACTTAAGCCCCAAGTCGCACTAGGAACCCAGGGGCAAAATAAAATATAATAAATAACTACCGTCAACTAGGAGGATTTCACCGGTCATTCATGAATTATATTCGAAAAGTCTATAGATTGTGTCCCTTCATAGCTCAACTTCCTAAATGTTGTCCTAAGGTTACAAACTTTTTGAGAAATGTTGACGGAACTCAGTTTGAGAGATAGATTTTGATTTTCGCTGAAAACTGTTCATTAAGAAGTTTCAAACAGATTAATCGTGTTACTTACTGTTTTTTCATTGTTTACAGACATTCCGGTATAGGAAACTATCAATATAAGCTGTTAGTTATTAGGGAGAAGGGTACTTTATTTACAATTTATAGATCTGTTTCACATGAGAAATAAAAATATGTAGATCTCCAACAGGTTCATCATCTCTGAAACCATACCACTATCGATATTGCCACTCATCCATATGAGACCATAACATAACCCTTTGTGATCTTGTAAAGGGTCTCAAAAACCTTTTGAGACGACTTCACATGTTTCCAACATTGTTTATGTTCACTCCAGTTGTGCGATCGATGAATTGCTTCTTGTGAATAATAACTTGATGGGAGAAACCCATACTAGATAGAAGTAGACGGACGTAATGAATGGCTTTCGCCTCAGTACCCTCACCCCGATTAATCGTCCTCAAGGTTACCCAGCACTAAAGTTTACTTGAACCAAAACTCGCTTCCAATCATATTAT